CTGCCAGTTGAAGTGGATTGTGAAGCTGCGGCGGACAAGGCTGCAGTCCCGCCTGGCTCTCCACAAGCAGTTTGCGTCGCTCGGTGAGTGCCTGGCTCCCCGCCCTGTGCCTGGGGACGGTGGGGTGCAGTAGCAGGGTCCTCTTGCAGAGGAGAGCTGACTGATGTCACCTGTAGTGGTGCTACAGATCTGCGGTGCCACCCCCGGCATTCCCAGTCATTCCCTCTGTCCTCGGTGGTAGCTGCGAGGGCTGCCCTGTTTTGAGTGGGAGAGGAAAGATGTGCCCCTTCTCGATGCCCAGCGCCCCTTTGGGACTGGCCATCCCTGCGCTGGGAATCGATTCGGGCCACGGTGGGAGGCGAACCACACACCCACACGTGTCACACGCCTGTCGGGCAGGCCAGGCGTGCGCTGCCAATGCTGCGAGCTCCAGTGGGATCGCAGCCGAGGCCTCCACTGCTCCTCTCTGGGCACCTGATGAAGGTGTCGGAAGGATAACGATGTCCCCAGGTCCCAGTTTTGGAGCATCCCCCCCCGCAGGACAGTGACAGAGCTCTGTCCCCAGCCCTCCCCTGCTCAGGTGGCCTTGTCCTTGCTTTCAGAGCACGGCGTTGTGCCAGTCTCCAGCGAGTGCCAGCATCTCTTCCCTACCAAGATCGTCTCGCGCCTGGTGAAGTGGGCTGCCATTCCCTATGAAGATTACGCGGTAGGCGCCAAGCGCAAGGCCGTATCCCTTCCAGCTCCCGCGCGGCGCCAGCAGCTGCTCACTCCTCCTCTTGTCTCTCCTTGCAGGAGCTGCCCTACTCGAAAGATGTGATAGAGGCTGGCTTGACTGAAGACTCTCACCGCTACTACATGGCCCTGGTAGAAAGGGGAACAGGTAGGCACATTTCCTTCCCCTGGCAGTTGCTAATTCCCACACCGGACATCCCCAGGGCATCTTTTGGGGGTCTTCATGGGACATCCCTCCGGTTGGAGGCCCCATGGGCTGCGGGTGATGTTTCTTCCCTGCCCTGCTCAGCCAAGCTCCAGGCTGCCGTGGTCCTGAACCCCGGTTACTCCACGCTGCCGCCCGTCTTCAGCCTGTGCCTGAACTGGAAAGGAGAGCGAACCAGCAGCAACGACGACAACATTCGGGTAACCCGGGGCGGTGGGAGAGGGGGCCGGAGAACCACTGGTTTTTGGGGGGTGTTCCCAGCGGTTCCGCATCCAGAGGAAGCGAGCTGTTGGGGTGAGCTGGTGGCCAGGCAGCTTGGGGCAGGCCCAAGAGACTCGCTGGATGCAGGCGTGGGTGCTGGGAGGGCAGAGCAGAGACCCAAGCCTGCGCCGTCCTGATCCCTCTGCCTCTGCCAGGCCATGGAGAGCGAGGTCAACGTGAACTACAAGGAGCTGTGGGGACCCAAACCGGGCTACCAGCTCCTCACCAACCAGCTGCAGCGCCTGTGCATGGTGCTGGACGTCTACCTGGAGACGGAGCCCCATGACACCAGCGTGGAGGGACCCAAGGAGTTTCCCCAGGAGAAGATGTGTCTGCGCCTCGTCAGGTGAGAGCCTGGCGTCGTGGGGGACCCTGGGGCAGTGAGGAGCTGGGTAGGGGGTGAGGGTGCTGACAGGGACCCTGGTGGCTCTGCTGTCTCCTGGAGCATGGCCTTGCCTGACCTGGTGCCAGCCTTGAAGCCTCTCTTTTAGCTGCCTGTGGGGATCTGCCCCCCACAGCTAGGCAGGCCTTTTCTGTGGGTGCCGTGGGCTTCCTGACCCCTGTGGGTCAGTCTCTCCCTCTTCTCCTCTTCCAGGGGGCCCATGCGCCTGAAGCCCTTCAAGTTCAACTACCCTCAGGGGTTCTTCAGCCATCGCTGAGCACCCCCTGGGCATCGCTCTGGGCTGGGCCTCGTCCTCTCTCCAGCGTGGAGCATCCCCATCCCACCATTTCAGTTTCTTTTCCGAGATTTTGTGTTTTGTTTGAAGGTTTTGTAGCCCAAGGGATTAAACGCCGAACTGAAGGAAAAGCGTGTGCGTGCTCCGTCTGTGCGGAGGGCTGGGATGGGGGGACCCGTGGGGGCTGCAGCAAGCCCTGTCCCGTGTCTCTGGGCTCTGGCAGGCGTCTTGCTGCTGCTGA